AAGAGAAGTAGAAGTGGAGTCTGAAGATGTGGCTGAATTGCTACAATCTCATGATAAAACTTGAACAGAGAGGAGTTGCTTCTTATGAATAAGCAAAGCAAAGAAAGTAGTTTCTTGAGATGGAATGTATCTCTGGTGAAAATGCTATGAACATTGTTAAAATGACAACAAAGAATATGGAATATTACATAAACTTTGCTAATAAAGCAGGAGTAGGGTTTGAGAGGATTGACTCCCAGTTTGTAAGAAATTCTGTAAGTGAAATGCTATCAAACAGCATTTTATGCTACAGAGAGATCTTTGTGAGTCAATCAATGTACAAATGTCATTGTTAGCTTATTTTAAGAAATTATCACAGCCTATCTAACCTTCAGCAACCACTACCCTGGTCAGTCAGCAGCTGTCAGTGTTGAGGCAAGATCCTCCTCCAGCAAAAAGATTATGACTTGCTGAAGGCTCAGATGATAGCATTTTTTACCAATAAAGTATTTTTTAAATTTAGGTTTGTACAGTACACTTTTTAGGCATAATGCGCAAACTTATAGATTACAATATGATTTAAACTTTACTTTTAAAGGTACTAAGAAACCAAAAGAATTGTGTGACCCACTTTATTGTGATATTCGCTTTATTGAGGCAGCCTGGAACTGAACCTGCAATATCTTTGAGTTATGCCTGTGGTTGTATTAAATGTAAATAGTGTAAACACAACAATTTAAAGACAGGTTGTCAGACTTAATGACAAAGTCTAACTATATAAGGCCTGTAAGAAATACACTTTAAATATAATGATATAGGTAAAGAGTTAAAAAATAAAAAAACATTCCATGCACACACTAATGAAAACTAGAGTAGCTGTATTAATATCAAAATAGACTTCGGAACAAAGGAAATTTCCAAGAATTAAGAGAGATAGTACATAAGATAAAAGAGTCAAGAAGATATAGCAATCCTAAAAGTGTTCACATCTAACTTAGAGCTTCCAAATACATGAAGCAAAAACTGAACTGAAAGGAAAAATAGTCAAATCCACAATTATAGTTGGATACTCAACCCGCTTCTTGAAATAAACAAAGAAAAAGTAGGTAGAAAATCACCAAGAGTGTAGAAACTGAATATCATCATCAACCAACTGGATCTAAATGATATTTATAGAATATTCTACCCAACTATAGCAGAACACATATTCTTTACAAGTGTACATGGAACCGGGCTTGGTGGCTCAGCCTGTAATCCCGCGCTTTGGGAGGCCGAGGTAAGTGGATTGCCTGAGCCTGAGGGTTCAAGACCTGCCTGGGCAACTTGGCGAGACCTCATCTCTACAATAAATCAAAAATCAACCGGGCATGGTAGCGTGCGCCTGTAGTTCCAGCTACTTGGAAGGCTGAGGTGGAAGGATTGCTGGAGCCCAGCAGGTCGAGGCTGCAGTGGCCGGGAGTGGCCACTGCACTCCAGTCTGGACGACAGAGTGAGACTCCAACTCAAAAAAAAAAAACAAGTGTACATGGAACATTCACCAAGCTATATAATGTCCTGGGTCATAAAACAAACTTTTAACTCTTTTATACCCAGATATTCCCTCTTGAATGTCCCCTCTCAAGGGACATAAAGAAATTGTTGGTAATTATACAGGATAAACTTATGCAGGTGCAAATTTTTCAAAAATGTATGTTTCCTGGAAGTTTTCCATTCAAAAATAATGAAAAACCTAATGTCCCATGTCAAGCTTCTGATTGATCAGTTGAGAAGTGGTTTTCAGGAATCATGAATGTGTTCTTCCATAGTGATTTTGAACAACAGACTGGACAATAAATTATGTATTATTAATATGGGAGGAAGAAAATGAAACTGCATTGCCTGCTCAAATAGAAAAACACCAGGTGAAAGACAGACAAATTACTATTGCACAACATGTATCAATGAACCTGCAGTGCATGTTGGTGACTATTTCACATATTATCTCACATTAGAAAGATGTCATGTAAAATTTTAATTTTTTTTGTCATAAATGAGTTCCTCAATGTCCAACATTTATAAGCCAAATAGCATCACAATAAAATAATTGGTTTCAACACTATACTATTTAATATGAAGTGATTTGTTTTTATAATTTCCTGAGAAAGTGTGGTCATGTTGCTGGTAGGTGATCCATGAGATGTCTCCAAGTGCGAAGGGTTAATAATTTTTAATTAAAATTATACAAGATGCGTTCTTAGATTATAACATTATTTAAGCTAAAAATTAATAACAGGGTAACAAAAATTTACAAGTACTTAGATATCAAGAAATACATAAATGATTCATAAGTTAAAGGGGAATCCTCAAAAGAAAATAGAAAACATTTTGAACTTAACAAAAATGGAAATATATCAAAATTTGTAGGATGCAGTTAAAGTATGTCTAGGTAGAAGTGTATAGCATCAAGTGCTTATATTTAAATCTTTAAAAAATATTTTAAATCAGTAGTCTGATCTTCTGCCTTTAGAAACTAGAACAAAATAAACGTAAAGTAAGATGAAAGTCCATAATAAAGATAAGAGCAGAAACCAATTGAAAACAGAAAATTAATAGATTAAAAATAAAAAATAGAGGAAACCCAGTGAAACAAAAAGTAGATTTTCTGAAAGGTCAGTTAAATTGAAGACTCTCTAGCAAGACTGGAAAAGAGAGAAGAGAGGACACCAGGTACTAATATTAGGAATGAAAGCAGGGGGATATCAGGAGAGACCACACAGGTATTAAAAGGATAATCGGGGGGTACTGTGAACAATTCTGTGCCATATATTTGACAACTTAAATGAAATGGGTGAATTAATATTGAGCCCAAACTGCCAAAAGTCACCCAGGATGGAGTAGATAACCTGAGTAGTCCTGTAACTAAGAAAGAAATTGAATTCATAGTTTAAACCCTTTTGAAAAATAAATATTCAGGCTACTAAACATTTAAAGAAGAAATAATACCAGTTTTATATTGCTTATTCCAGAAAATATAAAAGAAGGGAACCATTTCCAGCTCTTGTAATGAGGTCAGCATTACCCAATGTCAAAACCAGAAAAAGACAACAACAAGAAAACAAAAACTATGGGCCTATCTCCCTTATGAGCATAGATGCAAAATACTCAGCAAAGTATTAGCAAATTGAATCCAACAATATGCAACAAGATTATACACTATGACCAAATGGGGATTCATCCTAGGAATGCAAGCCTATTTTTATTTGAAAATCAAATATATAACTCACTATAATAACAGCCTAAAGAAGGAAAACTATGATCCTAACAAGTGATGCTGAAAAGCATTTGACAATATCCAGCATCTATTTATGGTAACAACTCCTAGCAAACTAACAACAGAAGAACTTCCTCAGCCTGATCAATGGAATCTACAAAAACCCGATAGTTAAGACCATACTTGGTGAAGACTGATTACTTTCCCCATAGGATTAGGAACAAGTGAAAAATCGGCATCCTATTCAACCCTGGACTGGAAATTCTAGCCAGTGCAACAAGTCAAGAAAACAAAAGACATGCACACTGAAAGGGAGAAATAAAACTGTAGTTATTTGCAGACCAAATGATTATGTGAAAGATCCCAAAGAACCTTCCTAGAAAGAATGTGAGTTTAGTGAGGTTGCAGGATGACACAGGAGGTCAACACAAAAACTCAGTCATATTTCTCTATGCTAGCAGTGAACAATTAGAAAGCAAAATATAAAAAAAGCACAAAACCCTACCCTCAGGGATATCTAATAGAATATGTATAGGATCTATCTGCCAAAAGCTACAAAACTTTTATTTTGCTGGATGCCATTGTGGTTACTCTTAGGTGAAATCACAGAAGACCTAAATAAATGGAGAGATATAACATCTTTCTGTATTGGAAGACTCAACATAGTAAAGATGTCACTTCTTTCCAAAATTGATCTATAGATTTTGTGCAGTTTCAATCAAAATCCATCCCAGCAGGATTTTTTTTTTTTTGTAGATAAGCTGATTCTAAAAGTTATATGGAAAGGCAAAGTAGTTAAAAGTATTAATATGGTTTTGAAAAACAACCGTAAAGTTGGAGGACTCAGTACACAATTTTGAAGCCTATTATAGAGCTATGTTAGTCAATGTAGAGTGCAGTTCTATTGGTCAAGGAATTGGCACATAGATTAATGGAACAAAATAGAATCCAGAAATAAGCCACCATTTAGAAGTGCCTTATAAAATTAAATAGACACATACCATATGACCCAGCAGTCCTGGTCTTGGAGGAATGAAAGCTTGTGTTTACCCAGAAATCTTGTTGTTTATAGCAGCTCTGCTTACAATCACCCAAACTGGAAACAACCCAAAGTTTAAAAATGGTTGGATGGGTAAATAAACTGTGCTATATCCTACCATAGAATGTTACTCAGTAATAAGAAGGAATGAACTATTGGTATGTATGCTACGACTTGAATGAATCTTATCAGCATTATGTTAAATGAAAGCAGTCAGTCTCAGAAGTTATGTATCATATGATTCTATTCACATGACATTTTCAAAAGACTAAGCTATAATGCTACAAAGGCTGTCAGTGATTGCCAGGTTGAGTGGGGTAGAATTGTGGCTGCACGGGACAGAGTTTCAGGTGAGGGAGCTGGTCTGCATCTTGATTGTGGTGCTGGTTACATGAATCCACATATATGTCTAAACCCATAGACCTGTACACCATAATAAACAAAGTCACATTTGCATCAGTAATTTAAAAAAATTCAAAACTGGAGAGAGATTGTGATTTCTACCTTACTGGTAAGAGTCTTTCCTTGATAATATGGTCTCCAGGGTTTTCAATGCCACAACTGATTGTTTTCTGCTCAAAAACGACCTAATCATAACCTAAGACCATGTGGCTTCAGAAGTGGTTTCACTTAGACTTTGTTGTAGGGCTGAGTGTATCAGGGTTAAGTTTTTCTAACAAAAGAGTGCTGATGAAGGGAGTGGCCCATTGCTCTTGTTGTGGTCCATTGCAGGTGAAGCAGGTGGAGGCGGGAACAGTCCAATTCCAGTTCTCACTAGGCTCTGAAGAACACCTGGACACATCCACAGCACGTGTCAGTGGCCCCAAGGTGGAGTGGCGATCTGCCAGGAAACCACCCACATCTCCTTCAAGTAAGTGTTTCCAGAGAACTGGCTTGACAAGAATACAGTATTACTTCCATCTGCTCCCAAAGATTAAGACGTCGTCCAGTACAGTAATCATCACACTTGTAAGGTAGTTGCCACAGGTTGCTTTGATTTAAATCATTTAGTTGAGTTTTTGCTTAACACAGGGGTATAGAATTGGACAGTGGTGAAGCGTGGCCCAGCAGCTTGTCCCCTGTGCTCCCCAACCAAGCACCTGTGGGTGGTTCTGTCAGTGACACACATCACTAGCATAAAGTACACATCCGGTGGGTGCCCTGCAAATGTGGGGCCTGAGAATGAGAGGGGGCTGGAAGCCATGGGCTGCCAGCTTGATTGTGCACTGTTAACGTAGCCATCTCTCTACTCACCTTGAAGCACTGTCCCAGAGTTGGGAATCTGTGATCTCTGCATGTGGCTTTAGGAGGGGAAGTCATAATAGGTTGCGAATATGGGCAGAGTTCTGGTCCTGTGGGTGGTGGTGACAAGTCTATGCACATACAGGTGATTAAAGAGCTCTTGCTGGTTGTCAGTTGAGTATTTGGTTGGCCAGTACCCCGTGCTCTTGGTTTAGTCCCCATGTCCTGACTGAGAATTCCATCTGCGGTGATGTGAGAGGCAGAAGATACAAGGGGTCTTTGAAGAGTCCACCCTGCTTGAGCACTGAGCCTTGACTCTAGGCTTCTGGAGATCTCGCCAGCCGAAAACTCTGGGATCCCTGAATCACAGGTGCTTCCTGTCTTCTTCCTACCTGTTCTGCATGGGAAGACAGGGAGTGAACACACATGTAAGCCTGTGGGAGCTTCCTGGTCCTCCATTCCCCCGATGGCTTTCCTCTAGCCGATGCCGCCCAGGTGTCCAGGGAGGACTTGCTTTCCCTGCTTGGCTGTGACTCCTGAGTGCTGGTGCAAAGGTGCTGGTGACTCCGTCACTTGGGAGTGAGGAGTGAGTTTCTTTTTGAGTTGAGAATCTAGTTTATGGAAATTGGTCTTGCTGAAGTTAATTTTGCAGTTGGTGGGAGCAGCACATGTTTTCCTTTGGCCTAAAGCCTGATATGCTGACCTCCATTTTCATGGTCTTTCAGGATTTTCTGAGATACCTAAAAGTACTCATTTACCAAAACTTAATAATTGATTTCTTTGGGACAAACTACATCATCAAGTATTTTCCTTCTTTTTATGGATGCATTGCATTTGATGATTTTAACTGTTTTGTTCTTTCAGCTTTTGAATTTTATGCTTACCAGATTGTTCTCAGGATTTCTGTTTACCTCCATTGTGTACATTAATAATCTCATCTTATATAAGTGGCACTGAAGTGTATAGCACCCCTTGTACTTGAAATGTTGCCAGAATGTCTGTTAGAATCCCTCACAGTGGTGGGTGGTAGGCATGTATTTTCTGTAAGAGGATAAATTCCAGCTTCATTTGGTAAAGTTGAATGCATTGAAGGCATAGGACACATAATTTAAAATCTTAAATGAGGGGTCAAATTTATTTACAGCCCATTCTTTGTTTTGAATCTAGTATTTTTCCTTCTTTGACATATATTCATAGTTATGTTGAAAAAATAAATATCAACCTTTAATAATCATAAAGAGAAAGAGAGATAGGATCCTAGGTTGTAAATTGGGTATATTTTGTAATTAGGTATAAATGTGATTACAGTCATTCCTTTTTAAAAGAGAAACTGATCTAGAATACAGTAGAATACAGTCATTCCTTGATATCCATGGGGGATCGGTACCAGGACCTTCGGAGGATACCAAAATCCACAGTTGCTAAAGTCCTTACGTAAAATGGTGCAGTATTTGCATATAACCTATGCACATCCTCCTGTATGTTTTAAATCATTTCTAGATTACTTATGATACCTCACACAGTGTAAATGCTATGTAAATAGTTGGTATATGGTATTATTTAGGGAGTAATGACAAGAAAAAAGTCTGTGCATGTTCAGTGTAGACACAACCATTTTTTTTTCCCCAAATACTTTTGATCTATGACTGGTTGAGTCCATGGATGTGGAATCCACAGATGCGGAGGGCTGACTTTGCTCTGGCTTTTGATTAGGTTACTTAAATGGACAGTACTAATAGGTCATAAAACTAATTGGCCCATGTATAAATAACTGAATAGATTATTTCCTTAGAGAATGAAACTGTGTAGTTAGCTTTAAGGGAAAAATATGATTGCTTTTTCTGGAAAGGAATTTTCAAATGTTAAAATATGATACAGTTATAGCATGGGGGACAAGCAGCTAGTTATGTTTGAACACTTTGAATCAAATTCACTGTAGACTCTGATGGGCTGATCCTGTTTGGGGCTTCTTCTGGGCTGAATCCATTGTAGACTTTGTCTGTGGGCTTTGGCTTTACTTCCCTAGTTGCCCTGTGTTCCTGAGGGATTGGGGGAGATTTAAAAACTGATCTGCCGCCACCTCCACTTTCCCTGAATTGTCTTTAACTGATTTTTTTGCTTGGGGTTCATTGAGCTTAGATCTCTGGATTCATAGTTTTCATCACATTTGGAAGATTTCTGGTCATTATTTCCTCAAATGTTGTCTTGTCATTCTGTCTCATCCCTTTGTTTGGGAGCCCCAATTACACATATGGTAGGCTGCTAGAAATTGTCTCATGGCTTGCTGATGTTCTTTTCACTTTATATCATGTATATTATTTTATTTATAATGGCTTTTTCTGTGTTTCATTGTAGATAGTTTCTATTGCTATATTTTCAAATTCACTCATCTTTTCTGCATGGTCTGATCTGCCGTTAATCCCATTCAGTGTATTTTTCATCTCAGATATTGTATTTTTCATCTCTAGAAGTTCTATTTGGGTTTATTTTATATCTTTCATATCTTGATTTAACATGTTCAATTTTCTCTAGCTTTTTGGACATATATACAGTTATAGCTATTTTAATATCGTTGTTTGCTAATTCTGATATCTTTGTTGGTCCTGGGTCAGTTTTGATTGATTGATTTTTGTCCTAATTTGTGCTGTACTTTTCTGTCTCTTTGCATGTCTGATTATTTTTGAGTGGATTCTGGATACTGGGAATTTTCTCTTATTGAGTGCTGATTATTCTTGTATTTGATAAATATTCTTAAACTTTGAAAATTGCTTGACCTTTCAGGTCTTGCTTCTTCAGATTTGTTAGATGGGACTAGATCAACACTTCATCTAGGACTGGTTTCTCCCCACTGAGATGACAAAACCTTGCCCAGTGTCCCATAAATAATGAGGTTTCACAGTTGGCTAGAAGGAATGGGCACTGTGTCTGGTCCGTGAACACCCAGTACTGTTGCCTGTAATCCTTTTTGGTGGCCCTATGTCCAGCCTTGGGTGGTTTCCAGGTCAGCACTCTACTGAATGCTAGAGGGAGACGCTCTGTAAGTGATCAGTTTTCTCTTTGTTTTACTCACCCTGCCTGGTACACACTCACTGACCACAGTAAGTTGGGACCATCGAAGGGCTCTCCTCTTTTGTTTCCTGTCCCTCAGGATCACTCTCCTTTGTTGCCTGAAGTAAACCGTCTTACAAATTATTGTTTTACATAGTGTGTGTGTGTGTGTGTGTGTGTGTGTGTGTGTTTTAATTTGTTTCTGTGCTTCATTATAGATAGTTTCATTGTAGGTGGAGGGTAAATCTGGTCACTGTTACTCCTTCTTGACCAGAAGAAGTCTCTGATGGTTGCAATGGTTTCCAGACTATTGAAACCATCCACCCCCAGGGCTGATACTCCTGTGGTTTAGAAGCATTTCCTAGCTGTGTGTGCTGTGTGCGATTTACTAGCCACATCATGTGGTTTCATGACTTTGAGTATTGGCTCATGCTCTCTGCCTGGACTATATATATTTTTTCTGTGCACTGCATTTATTTTGTTTTAAGATATATTCTTTTCTTAAATTAAAAAAATACATAGTCAACAATAGCCAAGGCGATTTTTAAGAAGAAGGGAGACTTCATCTTTCTTAATTTTCAGACTTACCATGAAGTTGTAGTATCCAGAACAGTGTGGCATGGGTACAGAGACAGATAAGTTGATAATAGGGTGAAATGTAAAGTAACACATGACCACTTACAGATGAGGAATGTATTTGTTTTCTATTGATGCTGTAAGGAATTATCACATACTTAGGGACCTTAACAAACAGAACTTATTATCTTAGAATTCTGGAAGAGGCCAGACGTCTAAAATGGGTCTCGCAGGCTTAAGTCCAAGTCTTAGCAGGGCCATGCTCCCTCTGGAGGCTCTAGGGGAGAACCCACGTCCTTGTCTTTTCCAGCTTCTAGAGGCTGCCTGCATCCTGGGGCCTCTTCCTCCACCCTCAAAGGCAGCACTAGAGTGTCGTCAAACCTCCCCCTGACTCTGACCCTCCTGCCTGTCTCCATTGGACCAACCCAGGTAATCCAGAGTAATCTCCTCATCTCAGGGTCAGCTGATTAGCAACCGTAATAATTCCCTCGGCAACTAATATTTATGGGCTCTGGGGATTGGAATGCGGGTATCTTTGGGGGTGGTGAACAGTTGTTCTGCCTACCACAAGGAGTCTGGGCAGACCAGTCAGTAAGTGGAGTGCCAGAATAGCTTGTCCATACAGAAAATACAAAATTCAATTCTAGTTTTATGTCATGTTCTAAAATAAATTCCAGGTGAACTGAAAGCCAAAACTTTAGAAATTTTAGAATTAGAAGATTAGAAAGATGATTGCAAAGAGAGCTTCTCCATATCAATAAAAACATAAGTAATCACGAGGAAAGAAAGATGGCCAAAGGATGTGGAAAGGGAACTCGAAGAGATGGAGCCAGAATGACCAAGAAATATGAAAAAGTGCTCAGTTTCACGAGTAATCAGGGAAATGCAAAATAAAACGAGAGATCATTTCATTCCTCTTATATTGGGAAAATCTAGCAGCTGATATCACGAAGGTTAATGAGGATGTGGTTCAAAGGAGACTGCTCTGAGGGAGGAATGTGGTGA